TTTTTTTTTTCTTGTTACTACTTATACTACAAGTTTTTTTTTGTTTTATTTAATTCAAGGCTACTAATAAATATTCAATTTTTAATTTTTTTTTTTAATTCTCATGCATTCAATGAAAATCTGTTGCTCCATTATTTCGAAATTATTTTTATTAGAAATAATGAAATTAATAGTGATGTTACTGAAAAATACCCATTTCACACCACCTCGTGGTACGTTAGTTTTAAAAGAAAAAATTATGATTTTTTTACAAGTTTTCTTCTTTTTTATTTATTTTACAATATTACTATTATATGAATAAGATTTTTCACAAACCCTACCAAAGAAATAATATGACCAGTCTTTGCTAATCACACAACAAAAAAGATCCAGTCATATGATAATCAATCTATCATAATAAAATTATTAAAAAAAAGAAAAGAAACGCAAATCAGACTGGTGGAAAAGAAATGTGTTATTTGATTAAAACATAATGCTCTTTTCCCCTTCCCCTAATGCTTTGGCCACAAGTTTAGAGAGAGTAAGCGAGATTTTTGTTTTGCCGCTTATGCGGCGTCTCTTCTCCCACCATCTGCCCTGGTCGCGCGCTCTTCCCAAACGCCTCATTTCTTTAGAGATAGAGTAAATAAAATAATTGTTGTTATTGGTATATGGGCAGGGATATGAGTAAAGGGACAGAGGATCGTGTACCTTTTTGGGTGGGACCATAATCTCTTCGAACGAGGCTCTTCATATAATTGCGATCGAACTTCACGTACAGATAAGTTCGTTTGATCGTTCAATTATATTTTAGTCGCCTCGTTCTCGAGATTATGTATATTAACCAACGTAGCTGTTTAGAACTAACACATTATTTTCTTGACGTTACAGTACATACATTTATTTATTTATTTTTTATTTTCCTGAGCTTAATACGGCTACCGCAAATGCGTTTTTGTTCGTTTGGATCGGTCTATGATAGTGTCTAGCAAAAACCTGTGAGTTAGCGGACCAGCCCGCCGTACATCTAATTACATCTAAGCTAACGCCATTCATGGAGGCTGCTGAAGTGCTCGCGTGTCGAGTTGAGTGTGTCGAAAACACTGAGGTATCTATACCACCTTTGCTCAGCGTGGACTTGATCCATCTACTGATTGTCTGAGTGCCCACCGGGTCGTGGGGCTTCCTAACAGCTACAAATACGTAGTCCGAATTTTGCGCCCTTATCTTTTCCGTCACCTCCACGTATTTTGTCAGCGCGGATGCTGTGCATATACTCGAATTCTCCGTGAACATCGGTAATCTTAACAACGGCTGGTGTCTCCCTGGTTTGGAGGTCTTTAGCCTGTCAGGTACTTTTATCACAATTCCTTCCGGATACGTGGAAATATTGCTTAACTTTATACAAGCTATGGACTGGGCTCTTTGCCCTGTGCTTAGAGCTAGCAAGGTGACCGTTTTTTCGGTTAAATCAGTCAGATCAAGATTGTCTAGAGGATGCAGCCGCTTCAAGTATTGTAGGACGACTGAGACATCCCAAATTGAGTCATACTTGGGTTTGACTGATTTTGTGCGGTACGCACCTTTCATGAATCGCTTGATTAGTGGATCATCCTCTATCTTATCCTGTGAGATCAGCGAGATTGCACTTCTGTGGGCGTTTAGTGTACCAAACATTGCTCCTTTGATGAGCTCTTCAGCTAAAAAGACTAGAACATCCGCTTTGGAAGAGTTAAAGGGGTCAACACCTCTTTTCTTCCAAAATTGGTCCAACAGCTTGAACGAACTGCCGTATTGTTTTAAGGTACATGGCGCTAAGGACGCGACCAACGTGTCTAGTGCCTCGTCCGGAGCTCCTTTCTTTTTGAAGGATCTCCTGATATAACGGCCGCTATCAATCGGAGGTGGCGGGCCCAGGGGTGGTACTCCGACCTAAAAGGAGAAGTTAGAAGGTCGTTACGAGGCTCTAGGATGACTAGCGGGCTTATTGTCATGTTTGAAATCCGCGGGAACCACACCTGGCTAGGCCAGTCCGGCACTACTATTATTCCCGTTGCTTTATCATATTTGACCTTGTTTAAAGTCTTTAGGATTAAGCAAAACGGCGGGAATGCATAGAACTTTATTTTGTTCCAATCGACCGTGAATGCATCAATACCGTAAGCTCCTGGGCAAGGCTTCCAAGCTAAAAATTTTTTGCATTTCGCATTGGTATCGCTGGCGAACAGATCTACTTCTGGGCACCCTAGTCTAGCTACGATCAGCCTAAAGGCTTCTGCACTTAGATTCCACTCTGTGTCTACATTTGGCATGCGTGATAGGTTATCGGCTCTGGTATTTTCTGATGACGGGATATACGAAGCAAAAAGCCGAATGTTTCTGCTCTCCGCCCATTGCCAGATTTCGCGTGCTAATAAATTATATTGTTCATAGGAGACGCCTCCCATTTTATTTACATAGGATATAGCCGTCGTGTTATCCACTCGAAAATTTATCGACAAATCGGTTCGCTTGGCTTCCCAAAATCCATAAACGTCTCTCAATCCGTTTGTGGCTCCCCAGCCTGTGTTTGACGCGTCGGTAAAAACTGTTTTATCAAATTTTTCCGGCAGGATAGACTTACTAGCTTTTCGTAAAGCTGATTTCCACCAGTTTAATTCTCTTACGGTGTTCAGAGTTATACGCATGGTACCGTTATAATTCAGGTCGTTTTCTAGTAATGCTAATAACTTTTGCCTTTCCAATAGCCTCGTGTATAATAGACCGTACTTTATTGCTGGTAGTGTAGCAACCAGGCTCCCCAGTAGCTGCGCAAAATCTCTGATTTTACAGTGCGTTTTCTTTGTCATCTTTGTAATAAAACCTAGTAATTTAGAGACCTTGTCTTCCGGAAGCTCGATACACATTTTTCCCGAGTTTAAAATGAAGCCCAGATACCTGCACGAAGTGACTGGAAAGAGCCGGCTTTTCCCTTCGTTAACTAAAAAACCTAACCATTCCAACAATTCAGTAGTTGCTCTTATATTACCTTGACAAGATTGAAAATTATCCCCCACACATAAAAAATCGTCGAGGAAAATTACTGAACTAAAGCCGCGTTTTCTTAAAAATTGAACTGCCGGTCTCATAACTTTCGTGAAAATGTAAGGACAAATATTTAGCCCAAAGGGTAGGCACCTATATTCGTACACTTCGTCTTCAAAAAGAAAGCTTAGGTATTTGCGCGATTTTTTATGAACAGGGATTAGATAGTAGGCGTCTTTCAAATCAACGGTACCCATGAAATTGTTTCTTTGCAAAAGTTTTTGCACTGACCTGATGTCTTCTAATTTAAAATGTGGGGCAGTGATAAATTTGTTAAGATTTTTGAGATTTAGAATGAATCGATACGACCCGTTTTTCTTTTGTTCTAAGAAATATGGTAAGTAGAATCGATCCCTCCTAGGCGAGACTTTTTCTACTACCCCTTTGTTGAGCATATAATCTAATTCCGCCTTGATTTTTTGCTTCTCTTCCGTGGTGAAGTTATTTGTTACATATGGCTCCGTTGGTTGAAAGACTCTAATATTGAAGCTAATTTTTACGCCTTCGATACAATTAATGACAAATCTATCTGACGTTATTTTTTCCCAGTTACTTTTAAAATATTTTAAACGACCGGCAATATTTCTTACATCTACTTGTTCTCTTGCGTCGGTGCCCTGGAGTTCGCTTGGCCTCTCTGGGTCCCGCGTCCTCTCAGGAATCTTGCGTTTCCCCTGAACTGCAGTTTTGGCCGGTTGTACGAGTAATTCTTGCTCAGTTGCTGGAGAGGCGGCCGTTTCCCCCGCAAGCTCGTCGAGTTTAAAGCCTGCGTAGAGGAGTTTGGGCTTTTTCCTCGCAGACCACCGGCCACTTTTTCTAGAGCCTTGGCATTCTTTAGCTTTCCTGACAAGTTCTCACCGAACAGCCACTTGCCAGGAGTCGTCTCTTCAAGAATCGGCTTGACATGTTTGTCTACCGAAGCAGTGATGAGGGCTCGCCTGGACTTGGTCAGGTTATGTAAGGTGTCCGTCATCAGTTTGGCCGCATCGCCCAGGCTTTTGATTAGGTCCACCTTTGGGCCTCCGTCGTCACAGTCCATGATGACTGTGAGAGCCCCTCCCACTGCTGCCAGAACGGCGCTGATTTCATCATGCCTTTTTTGCATGTGCATGTCACGGGTTTTAGCGTGTTTTGGCATCACGTGTGCTGTCTCGGGGTTCAAATTCGGCGACTCAAAGCCCAGTGGGGGTTTGTACGCCTCTAGCAATTCGTCTCTTTCTTCTTTTAGGAGACCACGCTCAAGCCACCAGGACCAGCGTCTTTTGAGCGACGAGTTTATGGTTATGTTTTACGCACCGGAGAGCGAGGGATCCGCTCCTAGAGCCTCCTCTATTTCCGGGTCGAGGGCCTCCTCTGTTTGCTCTATATTCTCCTCTTGCCCTAATCAGAAGAGAAAGGGGAGGAGCATTTAGTAACATGATTGCATTCATATACACCTACATACGTAAATAAGTATGTATACGTGCATGTATGTGCAGTGATATTATCGGTATCTACCGAAGTGCCGAGGCTGGCACCATGTCACGGTACGTCTGGCGTAATGCAAGCACCAGGATCGCTTTGCCGTGGGAGCGTCATGCGAGCACCTTGTTTGTAATCCATGTGTGGCGTTATGCAAGCGCCACGAACTTCTGAGAATAATCACTTGTGTGGCACTAGAAGGAAAAATATTTCTTACCTTTCTCAGTCTTTCCTTCCTCGTCTAGTTCTCCCTCGCTTGATCGGCTGGACCTGGATGACTCGCTGTCGATTCCGCCTAGACCCTGCTGTGCGACCAAAGCGGTGGCCAGCTCTCGCTCCGCCTCTTTGAATCTCTTCCTCAAGGCTTCCACGTCCTCGTCGGAGATATGTCTTTTGCTCATGGTGACAAAAGGCGGGAACCTAACCTTGTAGCATTAAGCGCACAAGAAAAGGGAATGAGGCGTTCGGGAAGAGCGCGTGACCAGGGCAGATGGTGGGAGAAGAGACGCCGCATAAGCGGCAAAACAAAAATCTCGCTTACTCTCTCTAAACTTGTGGCCAAAGCATTAAGGGAAGGGGGGACTACGTTGGTTAATCTACATAATCTCGAGAACGAGGCGACTGAAATATAATTATTGCTATAACTACTTATAAAACAGCTATAATAATGTATACAATTCAGCTATAAATATAGCTATAAACTACAGCTGTAAATTTTTCGCAAATAATGAATAAAAATTGGTTTAAAATCAGATTTTTTTCAACATAAATCGATCAGTACAAATGGTATCATCCGTATGATAGCAGTAAAACTGTGGGCCTAAAGTATTTTTGAATAAGTAGAAAAAAAAACAAGAAATCATATGCAATTTCAAGTTTTTTAAAAATTGTTTAAAAATACTTTAGGCCCTTAGTTTTACTGTTATCACATGGATGATACCGTCTATACTGATCGATATATGTTGGAAAAATTTGATTTTAAACTAATTTTTATTCAAAATTTGTGAAAAGATTACAGCTGTAATTTATATTTTTTATGTTGTTTATCTGTAGGGATAAATACTTACTCGCAGCCTTATTTCATGATTTCCGAGTGTTGTAGGCTTTGGTAGAAGATGTTCGTGTATGAATACAGTGCTTTTTAGTCATTTAATTATAGTATTAAATGCTGTCTGGCATCTTTAATGCATGTTTTCTGTGCATTGTTAGTAATTGCTTTGGTGGTAGATATTTGTATTTAATTAAAGTTCTTTGTAGTGGTGTTTATAGTGTTAAATGCTTTTTGGCAGACATCTGTAAAGCTTTTTGCGCGTTTTAAACAAGCGCTCTTTAATTATGTGTGACGGTGAGATACCGTCGAGCCATTATCGGTAGGCTAGGACCGATAGGGAAAGAAGAAAAAGGGAAAAACGGAGAAGACAGTTAGGAAAAGAGGGAAAAGGAAGAAAAAGCCAAAAAGGGATTAGATTAGCTTGGGCCAGCGAACGCGTGAAGTGTTTTTTTGTTGGGGGTTGCGAGAAGCAATTTCCCCACGAGGAGCGAATTTTATTTTGGAGGACGTAAGACGCGTCCTCTAGAGTGTCCTCGTTCCTGGGATTGTTGTCGTGGCGGCTGTGCTTGAGCTGTCCCCGGTACAGTACTTGGTGCTGAGTGTCCGAATCCTGCTGGGATAGCAGGCGACGCCGGACTCAGGGTCACCAAGGCCGATACCGTCGATCTCGGCCTTCAAACGCTGACAGTAGGGACGCCTACTGACCTCAGCGTAACCGCTCCACTGCTCCCGTGTAGACTTGGCCTGCGAGAGACATCGTCGGGGAGCGACCCCGCATCGCCGTAAGTACCTGCCCACAGGCAGTTTATTGTAAAGGGCAGCGGCCCTAGATTAGCCCGCGTTGTCTGCCCGGTTCGCGAGTTTGCACCGCGTGCTCGTCGAGTATTCTCGCTTAACGAGCGTACGTACACATACACACACAAACACACACACCCGCGAGTAATATTTTGTATTTCATTTTATATTATTTAGTTGAATATATTTCTTATTTTAAACTTGGTCGCGAGTGCTTCCTTTTGTGTGTGCCCGATTCCCTGGTATCGTACTAAAGACGTCACGAGAGGCGACGACGTGCAAGGTCGCCGCGATATTTGGCCCCTGCGGTGTCTTGGAGAGCGAGACCCGCGTATAAAGTTCATCGGAAGTGTCGTCGGGGGTACCCGGGCAACTCAGGCCCGGTCGAGGTTGTCAAGTCCGCCTCGCTACTCCGCGTCGGCAGCACCCCGCAACATATTATAGTGTAGTGTACGGACAGTAATTGGTAATTAATAGCTTTTGAATGTAAGCTGCCGTTTGCATGTGTTACAAATTTATAAAATATTTTATAAAAAATCAGATAGTGGTGCGTCAAATATATTTTAAAGAGGCTCTTTATCAAGTCTTTAGGTCAACAGGAGTACTGTATAGGTAATCTATTTTTTTTCCAAATTTTTTTAAAAGTTCCAAGATTTTGTTTAGAAAAAATAATTAAAATGTACTAGTTATAATTTTTATCCACAATTTCGTTAATTCTAAAAATTGCGAATACATTTTGCTCCGATTCCTTTCAAATTGAAAAGTACGTTTGTATATCTTATATCTGAATGTTGACTAAAAATTCATTAAATTAAAAAAGTAATATATGTGTAAATTTACTGAAATTATCTTCAAATTTTCACTGAATTTTTTCATATTTCGTTCATTAATTAACCGTTTTGGTACTCTAGTTGAACTTATAAATAAATAAAAAGCCTTCTTAAGTTCACAGTTTATCAAGTGCATGCAATTTTGCGAGTTCTTAATTTTTGAAGAGCTAACTATTGAAAATTTAGTACATTTAATTGATCCTTTTCTTGTTTTTTGCTTGCTGCATGCAACTTTACAAAACATGAAGCTTTTTTTGCAGTGGTAAGGTTTATCAAAATTTAAAAAAGCAGCATTTTTTGCAGTTTTAAAAGAGTATTTAATTTCCGAAAAGTTTTTTTTTTTTATAAATTATTAAATTGTAGCTTTAATCATTTACATAAATTGTGAATTTTTTTTCCTTTGCTATTGTCTAAATTTCACATTATTTTAATTTGTTACTACAATTTTACAATATTTTAACAACAAAATAAATCAACATGTCTTCCAATGCAAAAATTCGTCAAAGCGGAAACGAAAAAGTGGCATGGATATTGACACACTAAAAAAATCCAAAAAAATCATGTATTTTTATTGATAGGTGGTTACAAGAGCTTCAATTCAAACACTGGCTTTCCAAAGATGAAATGAATCTCGAAAAACCTGCTCACTGTTTCCTTTGCGGTGTTAATATCACGTGCTACAATAAACAAGATTTGATCAGGCACGCTGAAACTCAAACACATAAAGATAATGTTAACGCTGCTATAAAACAGAAGAACATTTCTGTTGTAAGTCAAGAAGAAAACGACACTCTAGTTAAAGAGTATGAGTTACAAACCGCTTTATTTTTAGCACAACATAACGTTCCTGTTCAGCTTGTTAACGATCTCATCCCTTTTATGCAGAAGATGTGTAAAAAGCCGGAGATCGTTGCATAAATGGGCACGAAAAAAGACAAATGCGCAAGATTGATTACTAATGTTTTGAGTGTCTGTGAACGACAAAAAGTATTAAATATTTTAGAAAATCAACGATTTTCCGTTTTGATTGACGAATCAACGGAAATCACTTTGAAAAAAATTTTGTGCGTCGTTGTAAATTATATTGATCCCGAGGATGGTAAATTTGCATCACATCTTTCAACATTGATTGAATTAGACGCGAGACAATGTGGTGCTAAGGAACTCTTCGAATCATTTGAAAGTTTTTTTGTAAAGAATGAAGTTTCTCTTCAAAATATTACAAGTTTAGGCTGTGATAATGCGAGTATTATGACGGGTTCGAAAAATTCTTTTTATACTTCCTAAAAAGTTCCTAATGTTATTTTACTAATATGTATATGTCATACATCTGCGTTCGTTGCCAAAAAAAGTTGCGCGAGTATTCCAGTAGAGTGCCAGCAGTTGCTTCAAGCTATTTCAAAGTATTTTTCCAACAGTTCGAAAAGAAACGTTAATTTTAAAGATTTTCAAATTTTTTATCAAATTTCGACTAAAAAAATTTTAAAGCTAGCTAACACCAGATCACTCTTCGTAATTGTACTGATCGCGTTCTTGATAATTTGCCAGCTCTAAAGTCTTTTTTCTTTCTCGAATGTCATGAAAGTCCGCCCAACAGTGATAATGATGAAAAGAAGAGCTCACCACACTTTATAAACAATTTGTTACACGACGATAAAGTGATAGCATATTTGGAATTCTTAAACTACATTTTAATAGACTTTAATAAGTTTAATGCAACTTTTCAAACAAAAAACACTATTATTCACAAAGTCAGCAGCTCATGTTCAGAAATTTTAACGTCTATTAGTTCAAATTTTCTCAATGCCACTGCTATAAAAGAAGTCGCCAAAGATAGTAATTACAAAGTGAGTAATAAAGATTATAAGCCAATAGAAGATGTAGATGTTTGTGATGCATGTGCATCGATTTTGCAGAATCTTCCAAAAACAGATGAGTTAAAAATTCGAGAAAATTGTTTAAAATTTTACACAACAGCGTTAACAGAAATTCAGAAATCTTTTTTTTAAAATGATGACATTTTACATTCACTTCATTTTCTACAACCTGCAAATGCTTTGAGCAACGTGTTTTGGAGTGAAAACCCAAACGTAGTACAAGATCTTGAAAGGTTTTTCCCGTACAGCGATGTCAACTATGAATTATTAAAAAGAGAAATCGCGTTGTTGCCGATGTATTTTGTTAACGATGAAGCTGAATTGTGTCAATTAGAAGTCGATGTATTTTGGAATAAGATTGTTAATATGCGTTCTGAAAACAGTGATTTATTATTTCCAAATTTAAAAATATTGGTCCAAGCTGTTTTAACTTTGCCGCACTTTAAAGCTGAGCCAGAAAGAGTTTTTTCGATTGTTACTGACGTCAAGCAAAAAAAAAGGAACAAAATGGAAATTGATTTATTAGATTCAATTTGTTTCATTCGGTCTTATTTTCCTGTCCACGGTATAACTGCATTAAATTTTTTAGCAACAAAAAATCATCTTGATTTATTCAATTCGACGATGTTTAAACATAAAGTTAATGCTAGTCATGTATAGATGTAATGCTTAAGTAATTTATTTATAGATTTTAAATGTCTGAATCAATAATGTAAATATTATTTTATTGTACAATCTAACAAAGCTTATTAATACTTTTATTTTGTAATTTTTGTAATATACATCATTATTTCATCTGTTGCGTTTAACGTTTTTTTTTTTCTATTAACTTTTTACTATTTTAATTGATACAGACATAATAACGAGTGGACTAGGCCTACGTGGGGAAACCACTCGAAGAAAAAATTAAGAGCTACAGTAGTCGTCAAATTATTAACAATTCTATTAAGTATTAATCCTAGTACATTTATTCTTTTTTAACTTTCTAGTCATTATTTAATAACAATTCATAATTTTTTCTTAAAAAAAAAAAAAACGC